TACCTTATTTGTACTTGATACATGTATCTCACATACTCTTTGCTCACAGAAGTTATTTCTAAGATTTCTTTGTTATCAGTTAAATGTATACATGTATTTATTTCATTTCTCATATGACTGACACTAGCACTTAACAAGGCATGGAAAACTATAGAAGACGATAAGTTATATGAAAGATGTTTAGAAATTATTGCCGAGGCCAAAGAAAAAACAGAATATATGGTAGGTAACTGAAAATGAATATTAGTTTGGCTCAGGTTGCAGCAGAACAGAGATATCCTACATTGTTGACCAGAACCCTCAAATATCCTGCGTTCTTGGTTTGACTCAATTTGCAATGCACTGAGACATATAGAGTTGCAGCATAACTCAGATATTGATGTACTTTTTGTTTCAGATGACAGAAAAAAGAAAGAAATTGAAAAAAGAAGGGTTGCAGACAGTAATAGATGAGGATGATGAACAAAAGGTATGTTTTATTAACATAATGATGGTAGTCTTGCTGTGTACAATTTATGTGGTATGCACCACTCAACTAATATCTACACGAGTAGTAATATTTCATGTAAATGTCACAAACACTGTGGAATGCCATATACTGTCCAGTAGCCTGTTTAAAGGCTTGCTGGAATTGATAAACAAGTGTTTACATTTACAGCATTTTTTTCATTGAACCAATAACATGTCCACAATAGTTGACTATATTGAGATATTATGATTGTACTGTAGAGTTGTATATCACAAATGAGCCACTGAATGGTGTGAGTGGAGTTACATATAGTGAGTAGAACATTACATAGATACTAGGTGTGAGTGGAGTTTAATACATATAGTGAGTAGAACATTACATAGATTCTATGTGTGAGTGGAGTTACATATAGTGAGTAGAATATTACATAGATACTAGGTGTGAGTGGAGTTACATATAGTGAGTAGAACATCACATAGATTCTATGTGTGAGTGGAGTTACATATAGTGAGTAGAACATCATAGATACTAGGTGTGAGTGGAGTTACATATAGTGAGTAGAACATTACATAGATACTAGGTGTGAGTGGAGTTACATATAGTGAGTAGAACATTACATAGATTCTATGTGTGAGTGGAGTTACATATAGTGAGTAGAACATCACATA